CTGGAAGACAGGAGTGCCTGGCGTGCTCTGGTCCATGCAGTCACAAAGAGTCGGACATGACTAAATGACTAAACAACAACAACAACAATTTCAATATTCACATTTCATCTTGAAATGTCTGTCCCCTGCCGGCTGCTGAACCACAGTCACGTCTAAAGCCCTGCTGCACATGCCAGCCAGACCAGGAGGTGAGGAGGTGGTTTTCAGTATAAATTTCACTGTGCCATCTCTAGGTTGGCGCAGTAGAGAGAGAGAGATTGAGACCATCTCTAGCAGCTGGAGGTGGTTAGCATCCAGTGGATTCTTGACTGGACCTGCTCCATCCCAACCCCATAATGCCCCATTTCAGGAGCCTGCTCAGGGGAACACCGCTACTGATAGAGTGCACTGGAGTAGGTGCTATTAAGCTAGATGGAGCAGTGGATTGACTCAGCACGAGGCAATTTTATTTATCCAAATGAAATGCTGATATTCAGAAACCACCTGCCATATTACACAGTCACTCATGCTGAGATGAGAAGGCTCAAGAAGAAACAGTGACTGAGAGATTGAGAATTGCAAACACTGCAATTCTTTTCTTTCTTTCTTTCTTTCTTTCTTTCTTTCTTTCTTTGCTGTAGCTTTAGGTCCTTTTCTTTCTTTATATTTATTTATTTACAGTCGTACCTCTGCTCCCATATGCCTCAGGAGTCGAACGTTCTGGCTCCTGAACGATCAAAAACCAGAAGTGACTGTTCTGGTTTTCAGACTTTCTTTCAGAAGCCGAACATCCAACGGGAGTTTCTGTGGCTTCCAATTGGCTGCAGGAGCTTCTGCATTGGAAGTCAAATGTTTTGATAGTCAAACAGACTTCTGAAACAGATTCTGTTTGACTTCTGAGGTACGACTGTATGTATGTTTGTATGTATTTAGACAAAGTAATAAGAATAAATAAATAAGAATAAAAATGTGCACCCCACCAATGAGACCATTCCATTTCATAACTATCCAGCCTCCCAAAATTTCAACACCTCTTGCGACGGTTTGACCCCTTTCTGTTTTAACAGTACAAATTCTACAAACGCCCTCCATATCTTCTCAAAATCATTTCTCCTGCGTATTCCCCATCTCACCTTAATGCACACGTTAATTTATCATTAACGTATCCCACACCTCTTTATGCCATTCTTCCATTTTATATTCTTCTCGCCCTTTCCACTTCCTAGTTATCATAATTTGTGTAGCTGTCAATAAATTTGGGAACAAGTCCTTCATAGCCTGTGAACCCTTCACCCCATTGTAAATTGACAATAAAGCTACCTCTGAACTTTTGGTCAACTTTAACCCAGTGATTTCTGTTATCTCCTTAAACACCCTTTGCTAGAAAATTTGTACATATTTACACCTTCTGCAGTTCCTAAAGGCCATCTTATCCTTTGGCATATGCACTGCCCTGAGATCTATGGATGAAGGGCACTATACAAATTTAATAAATAATAATAATAATAACAACAACTAAATTAGCCTTCACTAACCTGCTATGCTGGCTGAGGCTGATGATTACTCTAGCCCAAACATCAGGAATGCATCTGGTGAAGATTGGTTTAGCCTTAACGCTTAAACACACTTATGTATGTGTCTAGTTCTCAATTTGATCTTTCTTTAAAAAAAAGCAACAAATTTTACCTATCAAATTTTATCCTCTCCTGCCCCAACACACACTGTGAGACTACAGGATCTTGGAAAGCTGTGATATTCACTCATAAAATCACACATATTCTGCTCTGTATAGGTACTTTCTGGTAATTATGGGAACCTTTTTATAGCAGTGTATTAATTGGTAAATTAATATATGCAGTATGTCCTCAAGATGTTTTGTAATATAAATTTTATAAATTGACTTCACATGTGGGAAAATTGTGATTAACTCCTTTACTTCACTAAAAAAACTGAAGCGGGGCAAACAATGTTTATTGTTATGAGGTTATTTTTAATTAGAATTGCCATCTCTAAGAATTTTGGAGGGGAATTAAAGCTTATCCACATTTCACCGGGGGGTGGGTTCCTATTCAGGTCAAAATATCTGTACGGATTTTGGCAGGAGTGAAAAGAATATTAATACAATAAGAACAAATTCTCAAGACATGTTTTGTGCCGTGTATTTCTGATGTTGTCGGTCCAACACACATCAGGATCTCAGATGGTAAGTCTTATTCATCTGACTGAAAACAAACACTTGTTTTCAATCAATGCAGACTCTCCCCACCACCACCAGCCCAGTTGAGAAGCAACATCCAAATCACGTTTACTTAGAAATAAGTCCCTTAATGCTTCAGTCACATTTACATCCTAGTAAAAATTATTTGCATTGCAGCTGTCTTAAATCTGCTGCCCATACAGTTCATCACACAATGAGGAGAAAGTTGGGCCCTGATCTAGAAAAATCCAGCCATGTTCAACTGAAATCAGTGGAATGTGTTTATTGAAAGACCTAAATTAGCTCCCAGTATATTTCCGAGCACAATTCAAAGTGTTGGTGTTGACGTTTAAAGCCCTAAATGGCCTCAGCCCAGTATACCTGAAGGAGCATCTCCACCCCAATTGTTCTGCCCGGATGCTGAGGTCCAGCGCAGAGGGCCTTCTGGCGGTTCCCTCATTGCGAGAAGCAAAGCTACAGGGAACCAAGCAGAGGGCCTTCTTGGTAGTGGCGCCTGCCCTGTGGAACGCCCTCCCATCAGATGTCAAAGAGATAAACAACTACCTGACATTTAGAAGACATCTGAAGGCAGCCCTGTCCAGGGAAGTTTTTAACGTGTGACATTTTAATGTATTTTTAATCTTTGTTGGAAGCCGCCTAGAGTGGCTGGGGAAACCCAGCCAGGTGGGCGGGGTACAAATAAACTATTATTATTGTTGTTGTTGTTGTAAATTAATGTAACAAAGTTAGTTGAGCACTATAACTGTTGCGTAAGACTCATTTTCTCCATCTGACCAACTTGTTGCAAGGAGAATCCACATAGATAGCTGCATGTCTCCCCTCTCTGTCCCTAGCTGGGCTCCCACCTTAGGGATGTGGGTGGCGCTGTGGTCTAAACCACTGAGCCTCTTGGGCTTGCAGATCACAAGATTGGCGGTTTGAATCCCCACAACGGGGTGAGTTCCCATTGCTCTGTCCCAGCTCCTGCCAACCTAGCAGTTCGGAAGCACATCGGTGCAAGTAGATAAATAGGTACTGCTGTGGCGAAAAGGTAAATGGCGTTTCGTGTGCTCTGGCTTCCGTCACAGTGTTCCGTTGCGCCAGAAGCGGTTTAGTCCTGCTGGCCACATGACCCAGAAAGCTGTCTGTGGACAAACGCCAGCTCCCTTAGACTGAAAGCAAGATGAGCGCCGCAACGCCATAGTTGCCTTTGACTGGACTTAACAGTTCAGGGCTTCTTTGCTTCTTTTTTTTATGTTGCACCTTAATTTTGTACTCAAATATGGCACCTCATGCACAAACGCTACCACTGAGTCCCAGCTCAGAATACTGTTATTCATTTCAAGGGAATTAATGTTACTAATAAATAGCTTTACTTTAGGTCGGTTTTTGTGTGTGTGTTTTTTAGCTTTACTTTAGGTTTAACAATGTCTTGTTCGTAGGCTTCCTATAGATATCTGACTGGTCACAGATGGAAAAGGGGGCTGAATTGGATGGGTTTGGGGGTCCAATCAGACAGGACTCTTCTTCGGTTTTAATGTATTCAGAAATACTTATCAATCTACATACAATTTTCCACTTCAGCACTCTGATGGTGTGCAACTCAAGGTTTTAAGCAATATTTCACATCATTATTATTAAAATTTGTATATGCCCTTCATCTGAAGATCTCAGGGCTTTTCACAGCTTAAAAGTACACAACAAAACCAGGGAGGGCTTCCGGGGGGCGGCGCGAACGGCAATGGCGGTCTTCTCCCGACGGGAGAGGAAGCTCCGCTGAAATCGGGTCGTCCGCTACGGCGAAGCGGAGACCCAACGAGAAAAACCCCAGGCAGCAAGAGCCTGGGGTCCTGAGGCTCGGCGGGCGCCAAGAGCAGCCCTCCAACTGCAGAAGGAGCCTCGTAAGGGGCTCCGGAGCGTGGAGGGGGGTTGCGGCGCTGTGAGCCGTTTCACAGTCAGCGGAGTGAAGCCGCGCTGCTGCTGCCGGTGAGCGCTGATCCCTTTTCCTGTTAAAATTCGGACCTGGAAGAAAACAACTTATTCGTGAGTAAAGACTGAATCACTTGGAATTACAAATTTTAAATGAGAAGGTTTAACTTGGCTTGAATTTGGCTGAAAGCGGAGAGACGTGGAAACAGGAAGTCCGTCTTCCGCTGCCATTGAACTTGAAAAAAAAAGCAACTAAGGCAGAGGAGTGGAGGCTGAAAGAAAGAGATTTTAAACTCTACACAGCCAAGCATCTATGGAACTTACAATTTAAAGTAAAACTAGCAAGTTAAAGATTTGGATCTTTTATTTGCACTTGACTTTCCCCCTTTTATTGGATTACAAATTGGAAGGTGAAACCCAGAGTCAGGATTGCTTGAGCACTGTAAGAGCGAGCTGCCAGTGTTGATTTGGATACTGTATATTAGAAGTTGCAACAATCTGAGGGTATTGAGACCTTTTAAATTTGAAACATTCTTTTTGGAGACAAATAAGCACTGTCTGCAACAAAGTGATTACTTTTAAACTCTGCTTAATACTTATATTGGAAGGTTCTGGGACATTAAATCAGACTCTGAAAGACATCTTAAGCTCCCTCTAGAGGATTGGATTAAAACAGTGACTTTACAAATACATTTACTTTCGATTCCCTTGTTGTTTGCTTGCTCTGGGCCTTTCTATTCCTGTGGGAAAAACTCAGTGTGACCTTGACTGATAGATAACATTGGAATGAGTGGTACAAGAAGAAGAGGAAGAGTTAGACAAACAACTCTAACAACTCTAACCTCAGCCTCGCAGACACGTAGATCATCTGTGCCTACTTTGCCCTCAGAAGTACAACTTGAAGAAGCTGTCTTGCCACAGGCAAAAGAGGGAGAGGGTGAAGCAGAGCAGTTACAATTGGAAGATATGGCCTCAGGAGCATCTGTTTCTGTGCTAGAAAAAATCTTTGAAAAATTGGAAGCTTTGGACAAGAAAGTAGATGCGCAATCAGCAAAGATTGATAAAAATACAGATTGTCTAAACAAATTAACTACACAGGTGGGACAGAATACACAAGCAATTGGACAGTTGACGGAGGCCTCAGTAGAAAACCGAAAATTGGCTGAGGATACCAGACAAAAATTGGAAAATTTAGAGCAAGAGGTAAGACCACTCACTAAACAAGTTGGGGAACATCAGACTTATCTTTCTATGATAGAACTGCGAAATCGTGAGAATAATTTGAGGATTAGATCATTACAAGAGGCAGAAGAAGGAAATCTAACTGAGTTTTTGACCAAAGAACTTTCCAAGTTCTGGAATTTGGAAGAAAAGGACTTTAAAATTGTGTCAGCTTTCAGACTTGGAAGATTTATAAAGAAGGAGAGGCCCAGGGATTGTTTGATTACATTGAGATCGAAGGAGGAAAGGGATAAGATTTTGGGTCTACATTACGAAAAGTCACTGGAGGTTTTGGATAGAAGAATTGAGATATATAAAGATATCCCAAGACAACTGTTGGACCTTAGAGCCGCCTATTCTGAACTTGCTAAACTATTAAGGAGCAACGCAATTCCATTCAGGTGGGAATTTCCCCAAGGATTATCTTTTACCTTTAGAGCGAGAAAGGTTAAAATTAGAACATTGGAAGAGAGAGATAAATTTCTGGCTACATACGGAGAGGACCTACATAAAGGAATTGAACTACCTTCCGGGCCTGGGGCAAAGCCAGCATCAATACCTCCACCTGGGGAACTTGAAGACCCAGAGAAGACACCACCCCGGGAGAAATAACCAGACAGATCCAGGATGTCTCTGCAACTGTTGAGCTGGAATATTAATGGTTGTAATATTCCGGAGAAAAGGAAGAAAATATTTCATATATTAAAAAAAGAACAATTGGACATTATTTGTTTACAAGAAACACATGTGACGAGGCTCCACAGAAAAGTGTTAATAAATAAAAGATTGGGCCAGGAATTTATTTCGTCGGACAAAGTGAAGAAGAGAGGAGTGGTGATATATGCAAAAGAGAGCCTGTCACCTAAATTTCTATTTAAAGATGAACATGGAAGGATTTTGGCTATTGAGATACAATATCAAGGAGAGAAACTGCTGATATTAGGAATTTATGCGCCCAATGAAGGGAAATCGGAATTTTACAAGAAGTTGCAGGGGACAATGCTGGATCATCTGGATTACAACAACATCATAATGATGGGAGACATGAACGGGGTCGTGTCAACTAACATGGACAAGTCGCAAAGTCAAAATGTCACAAAAGATGGCAGACTACCTAAAACCTTTTTGAAATGACTGACAATATGGACTTGATCGACATTTGGAGAACAAAGAACCCACTAGGTAGAGAAGGAACATTCTTTTCTGAAGCCCAACTGACCTGGACAAGAATCGACCAAATATGGATCTCTAGAGGCCTGGCACCTAGGGTTAGAAAAGTGGAAATCTGCCCAAAGACCTGCTCTGACCACAACGCAGTAAAGATGGATATGACACTACTACCAACTGGATCCTTTAGATGGAAGATGAATGACAATTTGTTTAGAGATCAGGAAATTACCAAGAAGGCCCAAAAAGCTTTGAAAGACTATTTCGAGATAAACATGAACAATTCGGTGGAAAAAGAATCGTCTGGGACGCAAGCAAAGCTGTCATGAGGGGATTTCTGATACAACAGAATGTAGTAAAGAAAAAAACACAAAATGAGAAAAAGACAAGATTTTGGATAAAATAAAAGAATTAGAGAAGAAATTAAGAGTGAATCCAAAGTCACAGCCAACTCTGAGAGAAATTAAACTGTATCAAACACAATATTCTAAATTGATAAATCAGGAAATTGAATGGAAGATTAAATTACTGAAACACAAAACGTTTGAGTCGGCGAATAAATGTGGAAAACTGCTATCTTGGCAGTTGAAGAGAAGACAAAGATTAAATACGGTTACAAATTTAGAGGTTGATGGAAGAAACATTCAGAATCCAGTGGACATTAGAAAGTGTTTCCAGAGATATTTTAAAAAAACTATATACCCAAGGGCCGCAAGACGAAGTCGAGATTAAACAATTTTTGGCAAAAAATGGATTATCTAAACTGTCACAAGAAAATAGGACAACCCTGAACTCTAAAATAACACGACAGGAGATTGAACAAGCTATTCAGAACATGCAACTTGGCAAATCTCCAGGGCCAGACGGGCTGACCTCCAAGTATTACAAGACACTAAAAGACTACTTGATACAACCCTTGATGGAGGTTAGCAATGAAATTATGGAGGGGAAGAGGGCACCGGATTCGTGGAAGGAAGCGTTTATCACATTGATACCAAAGTCAGAAACTGAAAAGACACAACTGAAGAACTACCGTCCCATCTCCCTTTTAAATGTGGATTACAAAATATTTGCAGATATTTTGGCAAGTAGATTTAAAAAGTTTTAAGTGAGGTAATTCATAAGGACCAGGCCGGTTTTCTCCCAGGTAGACATCTGTTTGCTAACACAAGGAACATTATTGATATCTTGGAACTTCTCCAAACTGACATAAATACAAAAGCAGTTTTAATTTTTATAGATGCGGAGAAGGCCTTTGATAATATTTCTTGGAAATTTATGATGGGAAACTTAAAAGAGATGGGAGTGGGACGGGGTTTTGAGAATGGGATTGAGGCGATATATTCAGAACAGAAAGCTAAACTGATAGTTAATAATGTGGTTACAGAAGAGTTCAAAATTGAAAAAGGGACACGACAAGGTTGCCCTATCTCCCTTTGTTATTTATTTCGGTCCTGGAAGTGCTATTGAACATGATTAGAGGGGACCAGTTGGTGGAAGGAATTCAGGTTGGTCAGAAACAATATAAACTAAAAGCTTTTGCAGATGACCTGGTTTTGACCTTGCAGAAGCCAGAGCCTAGTACGAAAAGAGTATTACAATTGATTAATGACTTTGGTCGGGTGGCGGGATTTAAATTAAATAAACAGAAAACCAAGGTTTTGGGGAAAAATTTGACTGAGACAGAGTCAGAACGGTTTCAGAATGAGACGGAACTTAATGTGGTTAAAAAAGTAAAATACCTAGGGGTAAACATAACAGCAAAAAATCTAAGTCTATTTAAGGATAATTATGAAAAATGTTGGACAGAAATTAAGAGAGACTTAGACAGTTGGTCAAAATTGAAACTTTCTTTGTTAGGCCGAATTGCTGCAATTAAGATGAATGTATTGCCAAGAATGTTGTTTTTATTTCAAACACTTCAGGTTTTGGACAAAATGGAGTGCTTTCAGAAGTGGCAGAGAGACATTTCGAAGTTTGTCTGGCAGGGCAAAAAGCCCAGAATTAAGTTTAAGATACTAACTGATGCAAAACAAAGAGGGGCTTTGCCCTGCCGGACTTAAAGTTGTATTACGAAGCCGCAGCGTTCTGCTGGCTAAAAGATTGGCTACTTCTTGAAGACACTGATGTGTTGGATTTGGAGGGGTTTAACAATGTTTTTGGATGGCATGCATATTTATGGTATGACAAAGTTAAAGCAAATAAGGCCTTTAAGAACCATATTGTTAGAAAATCACTGTTTAATGTCTGGACAAAATATAAAGACTTGCTGGAAAATAAAACACCAAGGTGGCTTTCACCTTTGGAAGCTAAGGCCCGAAAAAGACCCAATATGGAGGCCAAATGGCCAAAATATTGGGAAATACTAGAAAAGATGGAGACAATTGGAAATTGCAGAGTTTGGAGAAAATGAAAGACAAAGTGCGAGATTGGTTACACTATGCTCAGATTAAAGAAGTTTTTAAAAATGATAAGAAACTAGGGTTCCAGGTGGAGAAATCGAAATTAGAAACAGAATTGTTAGAACCAAAGATTAAGATACTTTCAAGGATGTATAACTTGCTGTTGGAATGGAATACACAAGATGAAATGGTTAAATCGGCTATGATAAGGTGGGCACAGGATATTGGGCATAATATTATGTTTGAGGACTGGGAAAGGCTGTGGAGTAATGGATTGAAATTTACTGCATGTAATGCTTTGAAAGAAAATGTAATGAAAATGATTTATAGATGGTATATGACCCCAGTCAAACTCGCAAAAATTTACCACCTGTCTGATAACAAGTGCTGGAAATGTAAAGAGTGTGAAGGAACGTTCTTTCACCTCTGGTGGACCTGCCCTAAAGTGAAGGCGTTCTGGGAAATGATTTATAATGAACTGAAAAAGGTATTTAAATATACTTTCACTAAGAAACCAGAGGCTTTCCTTTTGGGTATTGTCAGCCAAGGGGTGGCAAAGAAGGACCAGACATTTTTATGTATGCAACAACAGCAGCAAGGATACTACTCGCAAAACATTGGAAAACTCAAGATCTACCCACACTGGAAGAATGGCAGATGCAACTGATAGACTATATGCAACTGGCTGAAATGACTGGCAGAATCCGTGACCTGGGAGAAGAGAGAATCGAGGAGGATTGGAAGAAATTTAAGAACTATCTACAAAAACATTGTGATTTGACTGAATGCTGAATAAGATGCTAGACTAAATAACTGAGCACCACTTAACTTAGAAATTTTTAAGAAAATAAGAAAAACTGTGAAAGTTTAACTCTTTATGAGAACTTTAAGATTATGAAATATCGAAGAGATATAAGAACTTAAATAAGATGATAAATTGCTGACAAAATGTTATAATGATGAAGGTGGGAGCGGGAGATGTGAGGAAGTCCAAAGAAAATGTGAAATTATGTTAAGACGAATGTTATATTGTTTATTACATTTATTCTTATTGTAAAATCCAATAAATTGCTTTAAAAAAAAA